GAACTCATGAGGAAGTGGCTTTACCTTCTTAGTGCTGTGCTTTAACCCATGTGCCACTAGGGAGGGCCCCTTAGCAGGGACTTTTAATGAAAAGTCTTGGGAACTTTCATGTTCTTGGGAAACTAGTTCGAAATTTTATTTCCTATAACACATCACTTTAGAAATTATTTCCCAAGGAAGCTATTATTTCTGACAAAAAGGCAGGTATCATTCTTGATAGTTTCCTAAAACACGGTGTATTAGTTTTCTTTGGGTACTAAAAAAATAACCCCCACTAAAATACACACTTGAATATGGATTTGCCTTTAGTGCCTGCAATATTTTTCCAAAACCACAGAGATGGACATGCAGAATTCCTTATTCTGTTTTATAGCATTCCATGTAGCGTTGCTCTTGAATAAGGAGCTTATTTTCTATAAAAATCAGGTAAAGCCATGAGTGGAGATCCTTCTGTGGGCATTGGATTATACTATGGGTTACAGAAGAGGGAATTATAAATACCAGATAAATCACATGACTATATCCAAAAATAGTTAGGAAGCTTTTTTTTACATAAATATACATTTATATGTATATTATAATTTTTCCTCCCTTTTCTCGTCTGTCTATAAGCAGTATCTTAAGATTTGCTAATTAAAATTAATCATATTTGTAAATTATTTCCCTTAATCATAAATCAACACAGTGTTAAGCTACAGATGTCAATGGGGAGAGTTTGACTGAGCAAGAGGAGCTGAGAACTTTGCCAAAAGATGAAGAAATAAGCGCCATACTTTTTGAGGACAAGGTTGCTGGTTTTTGGCAGAGTGCTGAGATCACTTCGATCATCTCCACTTAACTTTCTGGGAATATAGTTGCAAGAATTTGCTTTCTTGTAGTGTTGCAGGTTGGGGTTTTCTGCACAGGGTTTAGCACAAGAGCTGAGGGCAGCTGTGACACAGCAGCCAGGTTTTGTTTTCCGCTGGCCGGAGCCGGCACCAGGCAGGTGGTGACTCACCTGTGCTGCCCTTGGTCTGCCCCTCAGCTTAGTGCTGACCACAGCCTGACCCCACCAGGTCTCCTCTCCTCTGTCTGGGCCAGGTCTACATGTAGCTGGATGCAGGTGAAATCCCCTTCTGCAGGAACCTAACCCATATTTGAGGAAGTGAGAGACAAGTTGCTGTCTGACTCAAAAACAGCTCAGTTTGTCCACATCCAAATTTCTTTTAAAATGGTTAAAGCAGGGCTCTCTCTGGTGGCGCAACGGGTTAAAGCACCGCACTAGGAAGCCCTCAGAAGCCACTGCAGCACAAGTTTGATCCCAGCCAGGGAGCTAATCCACATGGCTGGAAGACCTCTTGTGACCCACCTGCTGCTCCCCTCAGCAGTGTATTTCAGTAGTTCTGCCTGTTCTGTTCCTCACTGTCTCAAGTGAATCCTCTCACCTACTGCACCTCTGGCCTATACAGCAGCTCTGTAAGCAGAAATAAACCTTTTAAAACAATGTAAAAGCATCTGATTTATAGCAACTTCAAATTCTGTAGCCATGCAAACACAACAGCTTTGCATAGATTCCTCTTCCTGTTCCAGAGATGGCATATGGTCAAATCCTAGTAGTTAATCTTTTATTCTACATCACTCATACTGGCTCTCTTCTCTGACTATATCTTACTCAATACAAAGTCTAAGAGCTATGGAAATGCTGATGATGGTCCAGGTAACTGGAACCAGCTTGTGGTGTGAGCATCTTTAGTGCAGCTGCCATTTGAAATCAGTATGGGGCAAGGTTTTCAACGTTATCATCTATAGGCATATTCTGTATTGCTGACTGTAAGTGAAAAAGTCTAGACTGAGAATATATTAGGAGAAAGTTACTCTGGACACTTGTTTGCAAATAAAAGAAGGACATTTCACTAAGAAGTTACCCCCAGTCCAGGCCACAAAAAAAGTAATGACAGTCTCTGTTGTCTCCTGCCTCGGTGTGCAGGGGTGATTTCAGCTAGGTTCCTGGCAGGGTTCTCCGTCTCTTGAGGTCTGGGTTTTTGTTCAGCTTTTACTATCACCCCAAACACAGTAGGGTCCAGAAGAGCACAGGAATACCTGGCTGAGTCATCCAGTTGTAAGGGTTTAATTGTGACAGAGATGGATTTTCCTGCTATCTGGAAGTTTATAGAATAGTGAACTTGTTCTGCATTGATGGCAGAGGAATCCTAATAAATAAGGAAAGTGATCTTGCCATCAGGAAGCCGCTTGTACCAATAAAGGCTTGTCTTATACTGACACCTCAGAGTGACAGCTGACCCCTCTCTTGTGAATACACTTGCCTGATCTTGAGTAACTTTCTGGGCCACACTGGAGCCTGAGGGAAAAACTAGAAAACACAGCTGACTCAGTAACTAATATTATAGTTAGATGAATTTTGTGTCCAAAGATAAAACACATTGAAATCATCACCTGCCTGCTCTCCCCAGTCCTCCTTCCCTCATCCTTGCCAAACACCATGTACCCAGTGCTGTCTTCCCTCCTCCCCACCCCTACCTGGCCCCAGACCTCCCAGAATTTGCTTTCTAGTACTAAGTTGGGTTAGGGCTGGCCACAAAGTGTCTTGTGCAAGACCTGGAAGACAGCTGTGACCCAGCAGCGAGGTTTTGTCTTCTGCAGGCTGGAACCTGCGCCAGGCAGGTGGCAGCTCACAGCTGCGGCCCCTGCTCATCTCACTGCCGATCACAGCCCCGCCCCCACCAGGTCTCCTCTGTCAGGTTCTCTCTGTCTTGGGCCATTCTGCATGTAGCAGGAGGCAAGTGATCCCAGCTGCCCCTAATGGTGTCCCACCTCAGGAGATTGAGAGGATGAGAGCAGATAACTGTGCTTGACTTTCTGGGTTCCAACTGTCCTCATGAGTTCTAGTATATATTTACAGGTAAATTTGTCTAGGCTTTTGATGCTATCCAATCTTTCATCAGTGTTACTCTGATTCATAGTGAATTTGGATCCAAGACAATACATGCACTGCATTTTAGTTTAGATGCTTCACCAGTTCCTTCCATTGCGTGAGGTCTAGCATTTGGGTTTCATCTCTTATTCTACATCACTCATGGTGTCCTCTGATTATATCTTAAATGACTCAAAGCAAGAGAACAGGGCTCAGGAAATTATTTTCATGATGATTCCAGATGACCAGATCCAGTTTGTAATGTGAACATCTCCAAGTGCAGATGAAACTTGAAAAGATTATGGGTCAAGTTTTTCAACATAAGGCAACCATGACCATGACATGTTATGAATAACTTATTTTACATCCAAATTCATGGCTGAAGATATGCTAAAGGAAAGTTACTCTGGACACCTATTTCCACATGACATAGATGGAGGTTTTACATAGAATTCAAAGCCCTGATACAGACCACACAAGAAGCAAGCACCATCGCTGCCACCACCTGTCTGGGATGTGCAATATGATGTCAGTTTGGTTCCAGGGCAGGGCTCTTCCTCTCTTGAGCTCAGTGTTTTTGCTCTGCTTTTTCTATTATTTCAAACACAGTGGTTTCCCGGAGAGCACAGAGATACACTGCTGAATCTTCCAGTTGTAAGGGTGAAATAGTGAGGGAGATGGATTTGTTTGTTCTCTGAAAGTTGGTAAAATAGCGACCCTTTTCTGCATTGTCGTCAGAAGAATCCTGACGAACAAGGAAAGTCATTTTTCCATCAGGAAACTGTACGTACCAGTAAAGATAGTAGTAAGTCCAACGTGCTTCATACTGACAAAAGAAAGTGACTCTTGACTCCTCTCGTGCTGATATATCTGGCTGGACTTGAGTCACATTCTGGGCCGCACTGGATCCTGTGAGGAAAATCAGAAGTCAATGTTGATGTGATGAACTAAGTATGATAAGACTGAACTAATTCTTAATTGTTAATGATTAACCACATTGATATCATCACCTGCCTGCTCTCCCCAATCCTCATCGCCCCCATCCATGCCAAGCACCCTGTGCCCAGTGCTTTTCTTCCACCCTCCCCACCCCTGCCTGGCCCCGGGCCTACCAGAGCAGGTGAAGGCCACCAGTGCCCACAGCAGGCTGGAGGGCGCCATGGGGCATGTGTGCCTGACACGGTGGCTGGTTGCTCGGTGTCTGAGAGCCTGAACGGGTGCTTAGTAGTTCCTGGGCGGGGGGGGGGGGTGCTGTTCCCCACACAGGAAATGGGGTTTCTCATGTGCATTGCCCACCTGGTAATGTACAGATGAGAGATGAGTCTGATTTACTCCAATCTTCGACTTTTCTGTTTTTCTTTTCCTGGTAATTGAGCGAGGGGAGGTGAAAAGTAGCATGAAAATATCAATTCATATTACATATGACATATTACATACTAGGTGTGAACCGGTGAACTGAAGGAGAAATTAAGATCGATTCAATTGACAATATTGAAAATTATGGGAATGGAAGGCATCATGGCTTTCCCCCTCTTTGTATGTACTTAATAGTTATTCATTTACCTTGCAATTATTTTCTCCATCCAGAGTCAAATTAATTTTTTTTTAATCATGGAGTGTGACTTTCTCAGTAAAGGCTATGCTATTAATACTTGAAACAATCAGTACTTTTCTTCCTTACTTGGTGCTAAATCTCTTAGGTCTCACAATAAAAAATGCTGCTTTGAATTAAAAATCAAATGATAAAAGGCCAGTCTTCCTACTTTCCAAGTTATTTGTTTATAAAGTTATAAAAGGAATAACACATTGTATGTTGAAATCTGATACTGAGTTTTACTTATTAGACTCTGACAAGAGTCTGAAATCCGTGGTGTTGCTTACACAAGCAGATTGCATTTATATCGTCAATAATAGTTGTTCTCTTATGCTGACCATGTAATCTAACATGGGTAGGATTCTATTTTAACACTGTATATTGCACCCTGAAGAAAGCTACTGTAGAGATATATAGATAGATAGATAGATAGATAAATATAGATATATACTGTAGATATATATTATCTATATATGAAATTTAAAAGTGTGTGTGCTGTATAATTTTAAAGTTCTCCTGAGTCACTGTGTTATACATTATGTCCCCAGAATTTATAACTGGAAGTTTTTACCTTTTGATTACCCTCACCCTTTTTACCTATATTCAAAGACCCCCTGCCCACCTCTAGCAAACACATTTCTTTTCTCTCTGTCCATGAATATGATTCCATATAGGTGAGAACATACAGTGTTTGTCTTCCTTGTCTTACTTGTTTTATTGAACTCAATGCCTTCAAGGTCCAATCATGTTATCACAAATGGCAGGATTTCCTTTTATGGCTGAATAATATAATTGTTTGTGTGTGTCAGGGTGTGCTGTGTATGAGTGTATATCCTATCTCACTTGTCACTTGTCCATTAATAGACACTTAGGCTATTTCCATATCTCTAACGCAGGGTAAATAAAGCTTCAGTGACATGGAGTTGCAAAAGTCTTTTTGAATATAATAGTTTTGTTTGAAATAATACTTTTGTTTCCTTCAGGTATATACCTAGAGTATAATTGATGAATCACATGGCAGTTTTATATTTAATTTTGAGGCTGAGAATTACACATTGTTTCCATAGTAGCTGTGCTAATATACCCCCAACACCAAGCACAATGGTTGTCATTTCTGCATATCCTCACCAACAAGTGTAACTGCTGAGTTTTTGAGAATAGCATTCCAACAGGTCTAATCTTTGTGCTTCATCTCTAACTCTACACTATTCAAAATGGTTTGCCTGTCTAGTTATACCTTAGCTGACACAAAGCCCAAGAGATCAGGACTCAGGGAATGGTTTTCATGATGATTTCAGATGACCAGACCCAGTTTGTGATGTGAACATCTCCAAGTGCAGATGACACTTGAAATGCTTATGGCCCAAGTCTTTTCAACATTGGGCAACTATGACGTGTTCTATATGATTGATGCATGTCAAAATTCATGCCTGAGGATATATTAGAAGAAAGTTGCTCTAACACCTGTTTCCAAATTATGTAGGAAGTTTTTCTCAGAATTCAATCCCCTGGTGCAGACCAAGGAAGAAGAAGCCACAGTCACTGTCATCACCTGTCTGGGATGTGCAGATGTGACTTTCGCTTGGCTCCTGGGCTCTCACTTTCATTGAGCTCAGGGTTTTTGTTCAGCTTTTACTATTGCCTCAAACACTGTGCCTTCCCAGAGAGCACAGAGATACGTTGCTGAATCATCTAGTTGTAAGGGCGAAATGGTGAGGGAGATGGATTTGTCTGCTTTCTGGAAGATGATAAAATAGCGACCCTTTACTGCATTGTCTTCAGAAGAAGACTGATGAATAATGTAACTCATCTTTCCATCAGGAAGCTGCTTGTACCAATACAAGTAGTAGTTATTCCAACTTGTTTCATAGCGACACTTCAGGGTGACTGCTGACCCTTCTTGTCTGGTTGTAGTTGGTTGATCTTGAATAACTTTCTGGGCTACACTGGATCCTATAGAGAAAATCAGAAAACTGAGCTGACACAGAGAATAAAACATTATAAAATTAGACCATTTGTACAAAGATAAAGCACATTGAAATCATCACCTGCCTGCTCTCCCCAGTTTCCCACCCTCATCCATGCCAACCACCCTGTGCCCGGTGCTGTCCCTCCACCCTCCCCACCCCCGCCTGGCCCCAGACCTACCAGAGCAGGTGAAGGCCACCAGTGCCCACAGCAGGCTGGAGGGCGCCATGGGCGTGTGTGCCTGACACGGTGGCAGTTGTGCCTATAGCGGGGAGACCGGTGTCTCTGGGAGGATGGAGGGGTGCTTATGTAGTTCCTGGGGGGGGGTGCTGTTCTCCACACAGGAAATGGGGTTTCTCATGTTGCATTGCCAGCATGGTTATGCAAAAGATAAGAGTCTGGCTTATACCAAACTTTGACTTTTCTACTTGTCTTTCCCAGTAATGAGTTAGACAATAGGTGAAAGGGGGTATTAAAAAAGCAGTAAGTATTACAGGTTTGAGCTGAAGGAAAAATGAAGACTAAATTAGTTAACAATATTGATAATTTTCAGTGGCCTAATATTGAAAATGTAATGCAATATGGATATGGCCCTATTAATATCTTCTTAGTGGTCATTCATTTACCTTGCAACCATTTTCTCCGTCAGAATCTAATGTAGTTTTTTAAAAAATGCACACACCTGTGGCTTTCCCAACCAAGGCTATCTTACTCAGAACAATTAGTGTAGCTCTTTCTTCTTCTTTACTGGTTTCTAAGGCTCTGCTTAACTTTTACAATAAATGAGACTGCTTCAAATTCAAAAATCAGATGATCGAAGATTTGTCCTTCTGTCTTTCAAAAGCCATTTAGTTGTTTATGGGTTCATGAAATTGTAACAGGATTTACACATTACTGTTTGTAATCTGACACTGAGTTTTAATTACTATTCTCTGAGAAGCATAAAAGTCTGTATACTCAGTACTACTGAATATACAAGTAGATTACATTTATGTCCTTGACAATAGCTATTCTCTTATGCTGACCTTGCAGTCTAATATGAACATCATTCTAGTTTAATGCGTATATTTCACCCTGAAGAAAACCACTGAGATCAAAGACATACCCTATTCCAAATTTCTTACATATACATGATTTTTAAATTCTCCTAAGGTACTATAATATACATACACCACCAGGATTTGTAACTGGAAGCTTTTACCTTTTGACTACCCTCATCTTTTTTCAGCTATGTTCACACCCCTCATCTCTAGCAAAGCAAATTTGTTCTTTGTGTCTATGAGCTTAATGATCTTCTTAATTTTTGGTCTGCATATATGTGAGAGCCTACAGCAATTATCTTTCATTTCTATTTACTTATCGAATGCCTGCTAGGTCCATTCATGTTGTTACAAATGGCTGCATTTCCTTTCCATGGCTGAATAATATTCTGTTTGTCTGTGAGGGGAAGAGGGAGTGTGTCCCATCTTGTTTACCCACTCGACCATTCATCTACACTTAGGCTGTTTCCATGTCTGAAACACGATAAATAAAGCTTCAATGGCAGGGGTGCAGAATTCTTTTGGAGATAACAATTTGGTTTCTTCTGTTATATACCTACAACGTAATTGTTTTATCAATGGCAGTTTTATATTAATTTTATTGAGATACCACCATATTGTCTTCATAATCACTGCAGTATTATATTCCCAACACTAAGCACAATGATTTCCATTTCTGCATACCCTCACCAATAACTGTCATTTCTGAGTTTTTGATAGTAGAGTTCCTTTGGATAAAGATGATAGTCCATTGTAGTTTGATGTGCATTACCCTGATGATGGTTAGTGATGTTGAGTACTTTTTCTTGTATCTTTTAGCCTTTGTCTATTTTCTCTAGAAAAGTGTCTGTTCTACTCATTGTCCTTTTTTAATTGATTTATAATTTTGTCTACTAAGTCACTTATATGTTTTAAATATTATCTTCTTACTAGATAAATGATTCCAATTATGTTTGTCATTTCATTTTGTTGATGGCTTCCTTTGTTGTACAGAATTTTAAAATTTGACTTAGTCCACTGTTTAATTTTGATTTTGTTGCCTTCCTTTTAGTGTTATCCAAAAATATTACTGCCAGACCAGCATTAAAAGAACTAACCCACTATGTTTTCTTTATGAGTTTTATAAATTCAGTCTTAACTATAAGTTCTTAATCCATTCCAACTTGATCTTTGTGTATTAAGTAAAATAAAAATCTAGTTCATTTCCTTTGTATGTGGAAGTTCATCATTTTTTTAAAGAGACTAGATCCCCATTGTATATTCTTATGACATAAATTAATTGACCTTGTATATGTGGATTTATTTCTTAAATCTCTATTCCAGTGACCTGTCTTTTTTTATGAAAATATATTGTTTTGATTCTTATAGGTTTGTAATATAGTTTAATATCAGAAAGTGGGATGCCTAAAACTTGCTCTTTATTCACAAATGCTTTGACTGTGAAGTAATATTTTTATATATCCAAATTTTAGAATAGTTTCTTCTGTCTGTGAAAAAAATGCCTTTGAAATTTTGATAGGGATTTAATTGGATCTGTAGATTATATTGATGAATATTTTAACAATATTAATCTTTCTAATCCATGAGTACAGAATAACTTCTTTGTTTTTAATCTGTGTCTTATGAATACAGAAGAACTTTTGTGTTTTTATTCTGTGTCTTCAAGTCCCTCATCAAATGTCACAGTTTTCAGGTGTGTTACCTCCTTAGTTTCATATACTTCTAGGTATTTCATTCTTTTGATGCAGTTGTAAATAGGAGTGTTTTCTTAATATTTCTTTCTATTTTCTTTCATTAATATATCTGGGAGTGCAACTCATTTTTGTATATCATTTTAGTATGGTGCCAACTTTACTGAATTTGCTTACTAGTTGGTTCTAATACATAGTGACATCTTGTGGTCATATTGCTAAACAACTGACTTCATTTTTTTTTTCTTTGACATGTGTGCATGTGTATGTACACATATTGAAAAGTGCATTTTATGAACTAGAGGAGGAAATCTCTGATTTTTTTATGTCATTTCATTGAACATCCTTCAACTTAAAAAAACAATAAAATTTTTCAAATGAAAATTGTATTGGCACTTATGTGACCTGTGATGTATGTACCTATGAAAGTTAGGGGTACTAAGGGTTCCAGTCTACATTTACTGGCTGAGCTAAAAAAAAAAAAAAAAAAAAAACACCTGGTTGTTATGAACCATTTTTAAAATGTTTAAAAATAATCATTACATGAATTGTGGAAAAGTGAAGAAATTTTCTAGCAGGCACTTTTATACCCCCAAATTGAGAATAAAAAAATATTTAATTTTTCTATGTTTTCTGCAGATATCTCTCCCTCATCTCTTTCTCTGTTCTCCTCTATACCTCCCAATATAGACAGAGGTGAAAGAGCAAATCTTGTTCCTTTTGTTCTAAAGTAGAAGCCACATTGAAAAGATTCCATTAATGTCTTTTAAAATTTTAGCTCATGGGAATATATCACAAAACAACATGCTTGTATTTTGATATTGTTCATAAATAGTTCCAGTATGTAAAAATGAAATATTTTACTTTTTTGTGTCCACATTTTATTTTTAGACTCATCTAAAACAAAAACTAAAGAAATACTTTTTTGCTTGTAATAGCCATATTATTTTTCCACCATATAAGTATTCTGCTATTTAACCATTTCATTATTGGTTGCTTTTACTTATATTTAAACCATGATGTATCATATCGATATCTTTATAAATACCTCCTTGTTCAAAAGTTTGAATTTTTTATGTTGATATCAGTAATTTGAATATGCTATACACACACACTGTCAGTTTAGTTTTAATTTTTCTTCTAAGTAGTTGAATGAATTATTCTCTATATAGTTGCTTTCCTGCAACTGAAAAACTGTAATAGTCCTCATCCCCAATTTTCTTATTAACAGATAATGGTATTAAATTTAAATTTTGTTGATTTGGTAGAAATGAAATATTTTTCTTTTCATTTAATCTCCTGTGATTGCTTTAGAAGTTAATGTTACTAATGTTGATAAATCATCCTGTTTCTGTTTTGAATTCCCTTCTATATACTTATTCTATTTCCTTGGGATGTCCTTCATATTTATTTCTAAGAGTTCTTTATCTTACATTAATATCTTATTTTTTCTTAGTTGTATGGGAAACAAATCCATCTTTCTATATACATTATTTTTAATTTGGTTGTAGAGAAAACATGCAGATAAAGAATTGTTCTTCTGTTACTCTATCACTACTACTGTACAGGAGATTTTCATTCCAATTGTCATATTCATCCAAGTTGTTGCAAATATCAAGTCTATTCCTTTTCATGACTAAGTAGTAGTGTGTTGCATGGATGTTCTAGGGTATATATTTGTGGGGGGCCTTGACCAGCAAGGCAAGGGGGTAGAGCCCCAGGGACAGCTCGAGGAAGAAGACCAAAGAACGGAGACACGTGCGAGTGTGATTTATTCTTACAACAGTCTGTACCTGAGGGCGGCACAGAAGGTACTGGCGGGGGGTGGTTTGGTGGTCTAATGTCTTAAAGGCCAATGGGTTTGAGGGGAGGGATCCATCGTCATCTCTTTGTCTCTTGGCGCCAAAACTTGCTGAGCGGGAAGGAAAAGAGAGTGAGGGAAGGGATTCGGGTGTGCTGCATTCTCAACCGGGATGTTTACCCTAAGTTCCAATCAAGTGTTGTTTTGTGCATAGGAGGCAAGGTCCTGGTCTCGGTCCCCGACATATATTTATCCAATAAAGAAACATTGGTGAGCCCTCCCTGGTGGCACAGCGTGTTAAAGCACAAAACTGAGAAACTAAAGCCACTTCCGCATGAGTTCGATTCCCGCCCCCGGAGGTGACCACATGGCGCGGCAGACCTCTCCTGACCCGACAGCTGCTCCCCTCAGCAGTGTACTTCCTCGATCTGCCTGTTCTGCTCCCCACTCTGTCTCTGGTGAAGCCTCTCGCTGCCCCTGAGCTTCTGGCCTGTACTCCAGTTCTGTATGCACAAATAAATAAATCTTAAAAAAAAAGAAAAGAAAAGAAAAGAAAAGAAACATTGGAGTTGTCCAGTGAGCAATGTAGATATAGCTGCCATGAACACTTATACACAGGTTTTTGTGTGAACATGACTTTCTCATTTTTGTAGCATAAGTAACCAGGAGCTGATTGCTAGGTTGTATGGGAAGTGAATATTTAACTTTTTGTGATCTGACAAACTGTTTTACAAAGTGACTATACCAGTCACCCCCCAGCAATGTAGGAATGTTCCATCCACTAGCATCCAGACTAAGAGATGTGGAGGTGTCCGCAGGGTGGCTTTAGTTTGCTTTTCTCAAATGGCTAATGCTGTAGCACACTGTTCTTCTGCTTGTTAATTAATATGCTTTTTTATCTACCACATACCTTTCCTGATGAAGCCTCAATGGAAGTCTTTGTTTATTTTTAATTAGACTATTTGTTCTCTTCCTGTGTAATTTAGGCATTCTTTATACTTTGCATTCAATCCTTTCATAGAAATATATTTGTAGATGTTTCTTCTCAACCTGTGGTTGGTCATTTTCATTCTCTTGCAATATTTTCCACAAACCTAATTAGCATGCTTACTTTTGATAAAATGTGTATTTATTTTTATTAATTTTGCTTTGTGGTCAGGTGGAAAATTTCTTTGTTGAAGCCTAGATAATGAAAATTCATCTTTTGTTTTTTCATTTAAGAGTTTAAGTTTCACATGTTACAATTAGATTTATTATCCATTTTAAGATTTTCCTCAATTTTTGGTGACATTTAATTCAACGAATATTCATTGTTCTAACACCACTTGTGGGTAAGATTCTCTCTTTTCTATTGAATTGCTTTTGCACCTTTGTAAAAAAAAAAAAAACAGCTGTCATATCTTATTACTAGGGAAATGCAAATCAAAACCACAATAAGATTTCACTTCATTATAATGAGAAAGGATGATATAAAAAAAGAAATCACAAACAACAAATGGCAATGATAGGAAGAAAATGGAACCTCTTGGGCTGTTGCGGTAATGTAGAGTGGTCTTGCAACTGTGGAAAATTGTATGGAGATTTTTCAAAATATTAAAAATAGACTTACCTTACGACCCAGCAATTCTACTCCTATGTATATACCCAGAGAATACAAAATCACAAATTCGAAGGCATATATGTACTCCTATGCTCACAGCATCGCTATTTATAATAGGAAAGTCATGGGAGCTACCTCAATGCCCTTCAACATAGGAGTAGATTAAGAACATGTGGTGGCCATCCCTGGTGGTGCAGCGGGTTGAAACACAGCACTAAGAAGCTAAAGCCACTTCAGCATGAGTTCGATCCCCACCCCGGAGGTGACCCACATGGTGCAGCAGATCTCTCCTGACCCGCCTGCTGCTCCCTCAGCCGTGCACTTCATCAGTCAGCCTGTTCTGCTCCCCTCTCTGTCTCCGGTGAATCCTCTCACTGCCCCTGCACCTCTGGTCTGTACCCCAGTTCTGTATGCATAAATAAACAAGTCTTTAAAAAAAAAAAAAAAAGAACATGTGGCATATACAAAATGGAATACTACTCGGCTGTTTAAAAGATGAACTCTGCCATTTGCAACAACATGGATGGAATTTGTAGGGATTACCTGAAAGTCAGTTAGTCAGAAGGAGAAAAATCAATACTGAATGATTACATTTTTATATGGAATATATACAAAACAAATAACCACAAAAGAACTACTAAACTAACCCATAAAAATCTGACTGCAGAACTGTGGCTACTAGAGGGAAGGGAGGTGGAAGTGGTCTGCAGTTGTGGAAATTAGTGAACACTGTTTCCATGAAAATTACAGGGTGACTTGCAAAATTCCTTTCCCACCTTGATAGCATCCATGGAGCATAGCTCCTGAATAAGGAGCTTGTTGAAAATAATGTGAAGGGTAGCAGGGAGTGGAGGTGCTTACTATCAACAAAGGATTATGGAATAGGTGATGGATGAGGGAGTTATACTTATCAGCTAAAATCACGTGGCCACATACAGAAATAGTTACAAAATTCTTTTTTATATTGAATTAATATAGTTGTTTGTATGTTAAGCATTTTTACACCTCTTTCCCATTTGGATGCAGAAGCAGGAGATGTGCTTTAATCACATTCGTTCCTCACATATTTGAACACATTGGTAAAATACAGAATGTGAATAGGAGAAACTGACTCAGCAAGAAGAGCTAAGTTCTTGCTCAAATATGAGTAAATGAACTTCACCTTTTTTGAGGACAGGAAGAGCTTGGCTTTGGCAGGACACCGTGGTAACTTCATATTGTCTGAATATGACTTTCTGAAAATACATTTCCCAGAATTTGCTTTCTTGTACTGTTTCAGGTTGGGGTTGTCTGCACAGGGATTAGTGCCAGAGCTGAGGGCAGCTGTGACGCAGCAGCCAGGTTTTGTCTTCTGCAAGCCCCCAGGTCTCCTCTCTCAGCTTCTCTCTCCTTGGGCTAGGTCTGCGTGTAGCAGGGTGCAAGGGATACCCACTTCTTCTGAAGAAAACTTCCCCATGAGATCGAGGTGGTGAGAACCGACAGTTGTAGCTTGACTTAGGTTCTGATTTGTCCTACGAGGACAAATATGTTCGTTTATCATTGCTGCATTCCATCCCACATTCCTTCCCTAATGTTACTCTAACTGATTTATAGATTCCGGTTGTATAGCCAATGCCAACACAACAGCTTTGTATATATTCCTCTATTTTTTAGAGCAACTACATGAGATCTAACCTTGTAATTAATCTCTTATTTTATATCACTCATGGTGTTTCTGCTTCTCTAATTATATCTTAACTAACACAAGACCTGAGAAGTAAGGACTCAGAAAAATTATTTTCATGGAGATTCCAAATAATTGGACCTAGCCTGTGAAGTGAAAACATATAGGAGTAGCTGTTACTTGAAATTACTATGGAGCAATTTTTTTCATAGGTAAATATGTACATGCTCTATATGATTGACTTTAAGACTCTGGACACTTGTTTCCTAACAACATAAAAGGAAATTTTACTCAGAAGTGTGCCCACCCATTCCCGGGTCCAGACCACAGTAGAAACAGCCACAGTCACCACCACCGTCTGTCTTGGACATGCAGGTGTGACTTCAGCTTGGCTCCTGAGCAGGATTATCACTTTATTCAGCTTTGGAGTTTTTGTTCAGCTTTTCTTATCATTTCATACACAGTGCCTCACTGAGAGCACAGAGATATTTTCCTGAATCTTCCAGGTTTAAGGATGCAATGGTGAGGGAGATGGATTTGCCTGCTTTCTGGAAGTTTATAGAATAGTGATCCCGTGTTGCATTTTTGGAAGAAGAAAGCTGATAAACAATGAAATCCATCTTTCCATCGGGAAGCTGCTTGTACCACAAAATAACATATAAGCTCTGTCTTGTTTCATAGCGACACTTCAGGGTGACTCCTTCTCCCTCTTGCTTGGCTATAACTGGCTGGTCTTGAATAACTTTCTGGGCCACACTGGATCCTGTGGGGGAATCAGAAAACAGACCTGATGCAGTTCATTTTTGAGTAAGTTAATTCTTAATTGTTAATAATTAACCACATTGAAACCATCATCTGCCTGCTCTCCCCAGTCCTCCTTCCCTCCTCATCATATCAAGCATCCTGTGCCCCCTGCTGTCCTTCCACCCTCCCCACCCCCGCCTGGCCCCAGACCTACCAGAGCAGGCCAAGGCCACCAGTGCCCACAGCAGGCTGGAGGGCGGCATGGGGCGTGTGTGCCTGACACGATGGCAGCTGTGCCTCCAGCTGGGACTCCGTGTCTCTGAGAGCCAGGAAGGGCGTTTATGTAGTTTCTGGGGGTGATGCTGCTCTCCACACAGGAAATAGCTTCTTTTGCTGCTTTGACAGCATGGTTATGAAAAGACAAGAGAAGAATCTGGCTTATCTGAACCTTTTTATTATCTATTCCTGGTAATTTAGTGAGGCAGTACATGAGAAGGGGCATGAAAACACCAACTAGCATGACAGGTTTTCACTTGACATACATCGATCATTTGACATACATTGATCATTTGACATACATTGATCATTTGACATACATTGATCATTTTCAGTGTAGTAACTTGGGAAGCCCATTTAAAATAGAATATAGTATAGATCTCTCTTCCTTGTATCCACTGTGGTCATTTACTAACTTGCATTTACTTGACTCCACCTGAATCTCATGGATTATTTTTTTTTACATATTCACAGATCTGTGGATTCTCAGTGAAGTCTACCCTAGGCAGACAGGAGTTGAAACAGACATCTTGCATAAAGTTACATGATCATGTGCTGGATAGCAGTAAGTCTTCTGCTTGATTTCATTACTTCAGTGTGTGAATCAATATAAAAGGACTAAAAGGCAAACAGACAACTGGAAAAAAAAATACAGACAGGGTTTCTGAAACTATGACTATTCTCAGGTACAGGTCCCAATAACTCGTGGCTGGGTGGTACACAGATGGGTGGCGAACCATCCATGCCATCTCTGAAAGCAAAGGCAGATGATTCCTGCTTTGCTGTGGGCACCTGGGGACAGCATGAAGGCAGCATCCGTATCCCTCCCCCACTTTGCCCCTTGACGATGGCCCCGCCCGGTTCCCTAATAGCACATCTGGGAGTCCTGCAGCTCAGACGGTGCCGCCTCTCTTATGTGGTTTCTGCTGAAGGAGTTTGGGCCCCCCCCCCCATTGGGAGACTGGGCTTGCCTTACCGATTGTTTTATTTTTCCTTGTGTGGTAATGATAACTGAGTCTATCTGGTACACGAATGTCATCAAGCTTGATACTAAAAGAAACTGGAGAAGATTTATGACTTAAAATTTCCAAGTTTACTATGGTGACGGCACACCGGTGATTTGGTGATGGGAAGCCCACGGGGATTGCAACTGAGATGAAAAAATGCACAAAAATATGTAAAAATAAACTATTATAACATTAAAAATAAATACATTCAGTGGGAAAAATAAACTATTATTTAAAAACTCCAAGTTCAGTAAGCTCAACAGTGGTACATCTAAGTCATATACAAAACAAATTCTGTTTGTGGTGATAAATATTCATTCATATTCTGGTTGTTCCCTGACCGCCAAACTGACTCTAGGTGAAATGTGTTCTCTGGTCCCCGCCTCCCCTCCAACAGCACCGCAGAAGAGGGGTGTTCTTCCTTTCCTCTCTGTCATCTGACCACGCAGGGCCTGGCAACTTCACCGCAGGGAGCATTGCTCAAATCCATGAAATCAGATGGACTTTTGACTTCTCTCATCTGTCCACTGGTGTCTTGGAATACCAAATGATGACACCAGTAAAGTCATATTCATTTTTGCTGTCTCTCTACACTTAATTTATTTGAAGTTCTCAGAAAGTATCCTCCATGAGTCTTTGAATTCAAATAGCCAGTCATGTTGTTGCCCTGAGGACACAACTGTTGTTTGGGGAGATTCTACACCTCTTACTATGGTTGTCATGAATAAAAAGCTTTGCTGATTTAACAATGAAAATACTTGAAACTATTCATAGTATACCTCAAATAAAAATATGTTCCTCTGTGGACATTAAAGAAATGAATGTTCTTTTCCAGTTTCTCTTGACAATTCACCTGCAGAAGAGCCTGATGTCAAATTATCAAATTCCAGTAACTTTCCTTTTGTTTTACACCTCATAAAGAAAATGAAGGAGAATAATGAACGAGAATAAACAATTGCTGTATGGTCAAATCTTCTCAAACTCGCCTTGATTTCTTTATAGAAACCCCCAAACATAATATACAAAGACACAGAAGAAATACTGAGGTTTGCAAACCTCCCCTATTTTCCTCCCTCTAATATCCTTGGTAATGGCTCTTCTCTTATGTTGAACATGCATTCTAACATGGACTTTATTCTATTTTCAACCCTGAATGTTTCAGTCTAAAGAAAGCTGTTGCAATCAGATATAGGTACTATTTCAAATTATATATATGTGTGTGTGTATACATATATATACATACATATATACATATATATACACACATATACCTACATATATATATGTCATTTTATAGCTATAGTCATTTACTATGCTGTGGATTATTCTGCATTTATAACTGGATGCTTGTACCTTTTAATCACCTTCACCCTCTGTCTAAATTCCCAACTCCTACCTCTAGCAACCAAAAATTTGTTCTCTGTATCCAAAAATTTGGTTTGTTTTATTATTTTATCCATATATGTGAAATCATACAGCATTTGTCTTTTCTGTTTGACTTCTTTTTACTTGGTTTAATGTTTTCGAGTTCTGTCCATGTTGTCACGAACAGCAGGATTTCCTTTTTATGTCTGAAAAATATTCTTCTGTGTGTGTGTGTGTGTGTGGCTGTATATCCTATCTCATATATCCTCTTATCTATTAGTAGACACTTAGTTTGTGTCCACATCTAAGCAAATATAAATAATGCTGCAATAATGTGGGTGTACAGGCATCTTTTGATATGGTGATTTGTTTCATCATATGGTAGTCCTATTTAAATGTTCTGAGCAACTGCCATACTCTTCTCATAGTACTTGTGCCAATATCCACCCCCACACATCTAAATACAAAATCCCAAATTCGGAGGCATATGTGCACGCCTAAATGTACTGCAGCACTATTTACAATAGGCAAGTTATGGAAACAACATTAATACCCATCAACAGGAGAGAGTTAAGAAGATGTGGTGTGTATGCACAATGGACTACTACTCAGCTATGAAAAAGATGAACGTTTGCAATTTGCAACAACATGAATGTAACTGGAGGGGATTATGCTAATGAACTAAGTCAGAAGGACAAAAATAAATACTTGATGATTTCACTCATGTGGAATATAGAGAAACAAACAAAAGAAAAACTGACAAAACTGAGCCCAAAACCCCCTTGAAATCTAACTGCAGAATTATGGCTATTAGAGGGGAAGGAAAGTGTGGCTAGAAATAGAGAAGGGAACTAATGTTTAGGGTAACGGACTATCAGTGCTTATATGGTAGGTACAGTTGGTGAAATAGATTACAGGAGGTGTGAACATATTCCCTAAATCATACATAATATTGTAAACAAATGTTCCCTTAATAAACAAAAAAATATATAGTTGTCTACTTGTATAAGTCTATGTGCTGACTCAATGGCATAAAATTGTGTTGGAATTCTTTTAGTATCTCTTTTATTAGCATTGCTTTAATGTTGTAAGATCTGTAGTGAACAATATTTCTGTGAAAACCACATGAGTGGTGACACAAGCTATGCAATGTCTATCGTCCAACAGATTCCGGGTAGATCAGGAGAAGCTTTGAAAAATCAGACTTTCCACTGCTAACTTATGTTATGACCTCCCTTTTTTGTATAATCGTAATATCAAAATATTCTGAGCAACCTTCAGCTTACAATTGGATTGCCTCAGACTCAGAAGGCGCTGCCTGGCCCTGACAAGCAAGTACTGCACCAGGGTGAGAAATTCCTCTTGAAGCAAAAGTCATTAAACAACTGGCTGATTAATAAAAACAAATGGCTGTTCCCTGCAAAGTCTCTCACTGCCAGACTGAGGAAAACCCAAATCTTATCACTCTATCTCACATAGCCTTCTATTCAGTTTCTAAATAACCACTCAAGCTTTCTACTATCTAGTCTTTGGATATGGAAATTCACCCAAGTTCCCTATGCAGAGCTAATCAGGTTTCAGGGACTTTTATTTTGGTTAACCTTTACAGTGGTAAATATAGTTATATTAGTCTTAAACTTTGTAAATCTATGTACTTGTTTTAATCTTGATAGATTAATTTTAAAAATGTTATAAATGTTATAATGTTATAATCTCAACTAAAGGTCAAAACGACCCCAGACTATCCTTAGCAAAAAGGTGATTGTGATCTCAGCCCATTTCATATGCTAATATCATCCCTCTGCCTGCCTGAAGTGTATAAAATAAACCTCTGCTGAAGACAGAACAGGAAGACTTGCACCCAACTCCCATTCCCGTGTCTTCCTCGAACCCACTCCCCTTTTTTCCCTTTTTCCCCTTTTTCCCCATTCCCACCTTGAGACCCTGCCTGTTCTGCCCCCCAATAATCCGTGATGGGGAGAAAATCTCTTACAGGGTGGACTGGCAGAAATTTTTATTCAGCTTGATAGCCTTCCACATAGCATTGATCATGAATAAGTAGCTCGTTTTAAACAAAAATCAAATATAGCAGAGAATGGAAGTGTTTGCTATGGGCAAAAAATTATGGAATGGGTGACAGAAGAAGAAGTTATAATTACCAGCTACAATAACATGACAATTAGCACATAGTTATGAAATTCTTTTTTTAACTGGATGTAAGTGTATGTATATTAGCCATTTTTACACACTTTTTTCATTTGTCTAAATGCAGTAACATAAGATACACTGATTAAAGTTATTCATACTGTAAATCATGAAGTCAATTCATTGTTAGACTGTAGGATATCACTGGGACAATATAATTAAGGAAAAATGTCTAATAACTTTACTCAAAGTTATATAAAGGAACTTCACCCTCTTTGGGGTAGAGAGGATACACTTTGGGGGGGCAGGGTACTGTGATAACTTTGCATTGTCGTAACTTTCTGAAAATACATTTCCCAAAATTAGCTTCCTTATATTGTTTTAGGTTAGAGTTGGCCACCAAGATGTCTGTGCACTATCTGGAGGGCAGCTATGACGCAGCAGCCATGTTTTGTCTTCTGCAGGCCGAAGCCAGCTCCAGGCAGGTGGTGACTCACAGGTGCTGCCCCTGCTCTGCCCCTCAGCTTAGGGCTGATCTCAACCCTGCCCCACCAGGTCTCCTCTCTCAGTGCCTCTCTGTCTTGGAGCGGGTCTGCTTGTAGCAGTATCAAGTGATACCCACTTCTCTTCAAGGAGTGCAGCCCATGAGATTGAGGTGATGAGAATAGACTTGCAGTTTGTCTTTCTGGATTCTAGTTGTTCTACTGGGTTCTGAACTGAAAACAAGCAGGTCAGTTTTCTCTACACCCAGATTTCCTTACCAATGTTAATCCAGGTAATCTATAGCAAATTCAGGCTATAACCAATTTGTAGCCAATGCAAACACAGCACCTCAGCATAGATTCCTCTACCAGCTGCAGCAATGTCATGAGGTCAAATCTAATTGATGTAATTAATCTCTTATGGTACATCGCCACGTTGGTTCTCCTATTCTGATCATACCTTAGTTGACACAAAGCTTTATAGAAAAAACTCAGGAAATGATTTTTATAATTTCAGATATCTAGACTCAGCTTGTGATATGAAAAACTTTAAGTGTGCTTGAAATGATGATGGAGCAATTTTTTTCAACACTTGGCAACTATACACTATTATTGCTCCAAGTCAAAGAGTCAAGACTGAGAATATATTCGAATAAAGTTACTCTGACACCTGTTTTCCTAGTGGCATAGAAGGAGGTTTTACTCAGAAGTCCCCTGATCCAGACCACAGAAGTAGCCAGAGTCACTGCTACCACCTGTCAGTGTGACTTCAGCTTGGCTCCTGAGCAGAGGTTTTACTGATTTCTGGGTTTTTGTTCAGCTTTTCCTATCACTTCAAGCACAGTGCATCACTGAGTGCACAGAAATACATTGCTGAATCTTCTAGTTGTAAGGATCTAACGGTGAGGGAGATTGATTTGTCTGCTTTCTGGAAGCTTGTAGAATAGCGACGGCTTACAGCTCTGTTTTGAGAAGAAGACTGATGAATAAGGTAACTCATCTTTCCATCAGGAAGCTGCTTGTACCAATACAGGTAGTAGTGACTCCAACTTGTTTCATAGCGACACTTCAGGGTGACTGCTGACCCCTCTTCTATGGTTGTAGTTGGTTGATCTTGAATAACTTTCTGGGCCACACTGAATCCTGTGGGGGAAATCATAAACAGAGCTATTACAGTGAAGTAAATATAGAGAATTATATTAATTTCTGTACCCAATGATAAATCAAGTCAAAATCATCACATGCCTGTTCTCCCCAGTCCTCCTTCCCCCCATCCAAGTACCCTGAGCCCCCTGCTGTCCTCCCACCCTCCCCAACCCCACCTGTCCCCAGACTTACCTGAGCAGGTGAAGGCCACCAGTGCCCATAGCAGGCTGGAGGGCGCCATGGGGCATGTGTGCCCAACACGGTGGCAGCTGTTCCTCCAGCTGGCAGCCCAGTGTCTCTGAGAGCCTGGACGGGCGCTTATGTAGCTCCTGGGGGAGATGCTGCTCCCCACACAGGAAATGGGGTTGCTCATGTAGCACTGCCAATCTTCTGCAAAGATGAGAAATGAGTCTGGTTTACCCCAAACTTTGACCTTATTTATATGTCTGTTCCTGATAATTAAGTGAGGCCGCAGGTAAAGTAGAGCATGGGAAAAGCAATTTGAGGTCTGATCAAGGAGGAAATGAAGACTGAATCCTTGGACACTCATTAATAATTTCCAGTGGAAGGTTTTTGAGGTTGATTTGTAATAGGATTTGTTACGGCTTTTGCCCCTCCTTCATGAATTTAGTGGTTGCTCATTTAACTTGGACTTATTTTTCTCCATCCAGAATCTAACAAAATTTTTAAAAATACGGTTTAGTGGCTCTCTCAGTGAAGGTTACTACTACATCTCTTTCTTCCTCCTTACTAGGTCATAGGACTCTACTGAAGTTTTACAGTAAATGAAAATATTTCAAAACCAAACAATAAAAGCTCAGTCTTTCTGATTTTTAAAGCTGTTCAGATGGTTATGTTTTATGAAATTATAATAGGAATAACACATTCTCTTTTAAAATCTGACACTTCATCTAGTTTACTTACTAGATTCTGATTCTGAGGGAGCGCAGTACTATTTCTGCACAGGAGATTGTAATGATTCAGTCGTGTGACCCTGACTGGTCATGTCCACATTTTTTTATCCCACTGGGCAGAATTGCTTAGACTGACTCATTAAATTCTTTTTTTAAAAATTTGTATAATCATATTAGATAAGTGCACTAGTTTTCACCATGCACATGCTAGCTATACCCCACCCCAATAAATTGTGGTATCTAAAAGTTACACATGCTTTGTACATGTCAGCCCCACCCAAGTTGTAAAATTGCATACTGCTGCGTGGTTACCTGCTATGCAGCTGTCAATCTTCCATTATTTTCATTGTTTCAGAGGATGAATTAATGCAAAAAGACCAATAGGCAAATAGACAATTGGAAAGGACCTACCAGACAGGGACTCTGAAAAGTGCAGTGACTCAGCTACAGGCCCCAGTGACGCGTGGCTGGGTGTGGGGGGAGGGAGTTCCAGTGCTTGAGACACCCACTCTGGCCCACCTCACTTCTGAGTACCACAGACAACTGATGTTCTGGGTTGCAACTTTTATAGCCAAGATATTTCATTTTCCTGTTTTCCACAAATATCCTTCCTTCCCTCCCTCAATCCTTGTTTCCCACCCTCTCTGTCAGTATTAGACAGGAGAAAAAAAGCAAATCTTGTTACTTCTTTTTCTAAAGTAGTCATCATTTTTAGGATAATTATATTAATTTTTAAAATTTTAGCCTTATAGGTATCACAAAACAGCATATTATATAGTGTTTCTGCAATATTTCTCCTCTATAGTGTCACTCAGTATGTACTCATTCTGACTTTTTGTATGCAGCAAATTTTAAAATAACCCATAGGTGAAGGAAGCAATTACAATGACTACTAGAAAGGATTTTGAAAGAAAACGTGATGAAAACATATACATATAATATTTGTGGAAGCAACTAAAATAGTACCTAGAAGAAAATTCGTATATTTGTATCTTTATGCTAAAGAAGAAAGGTTTAATAACAATCACCTAAGCCTTAACAAAGGAGAAAAATAAAAACAATAAATTACACCGAAAAGTAAAGTAAAATCAGGAAACAATAAAAAAAATTCAACTTAATGAAACAAAAACCGTAGGGATAGTTTAGAAAGTTTAGAAACATCTTTCGCAATTGATTTTTTAAGTCCAATGCATATAGATCAAAGAATATTCTGTATAATTTCAGAACTTTCGCCCTTTAAAGTGGAATAAGACTTCTCTGTATGACCAGTGTGTGTGTGTGTGTGTGTGTGTGTGTGTGTGTTTAGTCTCCACAGCAGGGTCTGGCTGGAGCTTCAGCTGCAGGTTTGGGCACAGGCTGCAGGTGCCTGGAGAGCACTGTGTGCTCGCTGCACAGAAGTAGGTGGCTGAGTCTGCAGGCTCTGAGGTCCTTACTTGCAGTAACAAATATTTTTCATTTTTATTGGACAAAAGTCTGTATTTTCCTTTCTCTTCTTCTTCATTATAGGAATATATGGCTATCAAAAATTTAGGGCCTTGACCAGGGTATTGTCGATACCACTGAAAGTAGTTAAATGCACTGGTATTGTAAGTACAGTTCAGAATTGCGGTCTCTCCTTCCTGGACCATCAAAGACTGAGGACGCTGTTCCACCTGCTGCTGGACCTTTTTGTCCTTCTTTTGGCCACTCACCCCTGCTAAAAAGAGAAAATGTTACTAGGTAGCAAATGTACATTTCCCCCTTAAAGTTTAAACCTTCAAGAGTTTGTCCACACCCAATTTTCTCATCCCCTCCAAATTAATGGTTTATTCTAAGGTTCTCCCCACAACTCACAGCCTAGCTGAAGCCATAGAACTAAAATGGATGTTGCCAGGATCTTGTCCATTCCTCCTGTCCAGAGCTCAGGACACTCGGGGTCTTCTGATGCTGCAGTCAGCTGGAGCTCTGACTCAGACTCACCCCTGTGTAATGCTTCATGAAGCCCCACCTTTCACAATGCTTTTGCTTAAAGCTATTTTCATCAAAGGAAGCATTTCCTCAAGTTGCTCTAGTTTAGAGTTGCTGAAAATGCTTTCACTGGGAATCAGAAACCCCTCTTTACATGTGAATAATGATCAGTTAGAATTATCCCCCAGTACTCTCCTCCTTTTCCTCTTACCTACCAGAATGTGAAAAACTGTACAATGAACAAGTTGATATGTCAACTTGTGCTATAAACATAGCATTATTTTACAATGGAGAAAAGGGAGAATCCCAGCAAGTCACAGGAATAGTATGTATAGTGTGATTTCTTTTCATTGAATACTAATTAAAATCTATCAAGTACACACTAGTGGCATAATATCCCATTTCTTCCTAAAATCAATTGAACATAGAAACTATATGATCCCTTTACTCTCAGGGGACTTAAATTTTATTACATCTTTCATCTGTGCCCAATTTTCACATAATCCTAAGAAATTAGAGAAAAGAATTCAGTCAGGCCCTCCCTGGTGTCGCAGCGGGTTAAAGCACAGCACTAAGAAGCTAAAGCCACTTTCGCATGAATTCGAGCCCCACCTGCCCCGGAGGTGACCAAATGGCGTGGCAGACCTCTCCTGACCCGCCGGCTGCTCCCCTCAGCAGTGTACTTCGTCGATCTGCCTGTTCTGCTCCCCACTCTGTCTCTGGTAAATCCTCTCACCCTCCACATCTCTGGCCTGTACCCCAGTTCTATATGAATAAATAAATAAATCTTTAAAAAAAAAAAGAATTCAGTAAATTGCAACATTATATTTCTTCCAGAATCTATATCAGGTAAATCAAAGAGTAAAGAATTGTAAGAGCATACCTGGGGAAAGAAATTGGGTAGTGGTGCAATTAACCTCCAAATGCCTAAGAGAGAAATGAAAAATTCTGGAGACTTCAGAAGAGATGAGGCCATGGCCACTCTGTAATGTTTTGATTTTTGCTATCTCTTATTTTGTGTTTAAACAAATATTTAATATTTTATTCACAGATTATTTTCATAGATGAAATGCAAATACCCTGAAGAGTTAACTCAGCTCTTGATGTTAATAAGGCAGGATATAGAGACCAAAATACAGGATAAACTTTTAAATGCCCTGAAAGTATGAATAATTTGCACAGTAAATTATGGAAGTCAAATAAAATAGAAGCACATTTTTGTCCTCAAGTACAGAATTTTTTTTATCTTAAATCCAGTCAAAGACCAAGACCATCTGAGTAAAAAGACAATTTGAAGCGTCCACATTCCTCAAGAAATAGTCTAATCCCATCTATTTCTTTAGAGGGATGTTTTATTGCTTAAGTTCTTCATGTGTTCTGTTTTCTTTTTCATAGATCCATTCATTAATGATGACCTTCAATGAATATTTACTGATACCTAGTAAGTGCCTACTATATAAACAGTACTTGGGTCTCATTCATGAAAAAGACTCATTCCCAATCTTCACTCAATCTAGTGCAAATACTAAAGGACAGGCAAATAATACCCATCAAAGAGAACTGAGGATCCACAGCATGTGACAAAGAATAATGATCTCTGCCGTGAGGCCCATCCAGGGACATGTTCCCATGGACAAGTTGTTTGAAATGGGACTTCAACCATTAGTAGATTTCCCAGCAAAAGAAGAGAAAGGAGTAAGGAATTCTAGTATATGCAGTATGGTTAGAGATTGGTCAGTGTATTGTATCAAAACATTATAAACTTATAGTAGAGAAGATTGTGTTGCCCTGTCCTGAAAGAGAACATATACTATATTATTGGTTTCCAGAACCATATTTTCCAAACCTATTAAAGTAGAATCCACTCAGGTACTGCCAGGTAGAGAAATGGATAGATAGATAGATGGTTACATAGATACTTATAATATTGATAGATATTAATTTACTAGATAATAATAATTTACTAGATTTATTGAGTAAATCTACTAGATAATAATTTACTAGATTTAATGAGTAATGTCTGGCTACAGTAATTCTGTGTATGTGGCGGGTCATTAATCTACTCTAAAGCAGCACTGCCTCCTTGTGGCCACATAGAGAAGTTACACTGAACTACTGGTTCTACTGGTTCTTTAAAGATGACTTCCAGCAACCCTTGCATCTATTACAACACTAAATAAGTGCTTGAGTTGTCCAGCCAATGATTCTTCAAATGGAAGGTGGCTTTGTTATCATATAACATTTTTGATGTTCTTTACCGAGGTGTGTCTTAGGATCTGGAGGCCTCTCTTAGACATATCAAGACAGAATAGAGTTCCTGATATCTCTGAGATATGGCCTCACCTGCCTCAGGCTCCCTAAGAAGCAAAAATTGGCCCTCGGGCTCAATTACTGCATGGACTGACCTTCTTCCCATAATATCAACATCACATCAGATATATTTTCTTAATTCTGAAAGAGGATGTCCTTAAAATTATTCTAAATTGGACAGTTGTTCTATACCTTTGCCAACTTGAAACAGCCAAAAAGAAGATTATCGATATCATATATGCCTCCTGTATACATAAGAGTGATCCAGCATGACTGAGTAATGTGTCTAGTATGGCACTATATGCCTTCTTAAATAGCTTAGCTAAGAGAGAAAGCCTGTGATAGGGAGAAAGGAGGGCCAGGAGGGGGATTAAGGGCAAGACTAGCAGATAAAATGCATAGATTTGAGCTCTGCTTTCTTCACTGAAATGGGGCAAGAAAATTAGGTCTTCCTGCCACATGCCTTTATAGAAGTTTATAGAAGTTTACAAGCAAATACCTTTTTCAAAAGCAACCCCCACCAAGCTTTCAGGGCACTCCCATGAAATCTACTATTTTCCAAGAAGACTCTCTTTTGGGATATTTGCTCCCCTACACCCATAATTGTTCTTTTCCTTTTTCTAGTCAGGTGCACACAACCTCATCTCAGAGTCTACCTCTGGACAACAGGACCTAAGGTAGTGGGCACTTAAATAATTTGTTCATTATTTTCATTGGTGAAAAAAAAATTTACATTTTCTCATAATTATCCTACCTTTGATAGAAATAATACACTTATATTGTTAGACACTAATGAGATTTTTCTGTAAAGAGTCAGGAATAATGGAGATAAGTCTTAATCTTCCTTCATTTTGAATAACAGCTACAAGTATTACTAATTTTGAAGGGCCTTCATCTGGCTTCCATTAATCAGTTTTCCATGGATTTTGAAAAATGAAAGTTTATTGAGGATCATACAACAGGAGAGGGGTAACAACTGCCCTGAGCCAAACTCTCTTCCTGAGAGTTACAGGAGCTCCTATTTTGATGAGGTTTGTTATCAGAGTGGGATAGCAAGGAGCAACATCATAGCAAGTTTTAGATTGGACTCCACTGGTGCTTGCATAGTTACTTTACACAGGTTACATTTTTTTTTTTTTAAGATTTATTTATTTGTGCATACAGAACTGGGGAACAGGCCAGAGGCTCAGGGGTGGTGAGAGGCTTCACCAGAGACAGAGCAGGGAACAGAACAGGCAGATCGATGAAGTACACTGCTGAGGGGAGCAGCGGGCGCATCAGGAGAGGTCTGCCACGCCATGTGGTCACCTCCCGGGCAGGCAGGAGTCGAACTCATGCGGAAGCGGCTTTTGATTCTCAGTGCTGTGCTTTAACCCGCTGCGACACCAGGGAGGGCCACAGGTTACATTTTTTATGTCATTTTCCTCATCAGCATCTTAAGTCTCCACTCAAGAGATATGCATTTCATAGCCTGCTAATGAGTCCTCTACACCTTTAGATTAAGTCCTTTGTCACCTCCATCTGTGTTGCCATCAGGTTTCAGTTTCAGCAGATTCTGGAGCCATTTTCCCAAAGCAGGACACTCCTGTAGGCTGGAGACCTGGACCTCACAAACAATTGGTTGGACAAATCACTGAGATTTTTATAGGTCTGGGAACTAACTAACAAGAAGGTTAGGCAAGTGAAGCCTAAATCCCAGGGAGGGATATAGGTAGGGTTTGATTAAAGAATATACATGGCATCCTTGTTTTACTTCGTTAATACTCTCAGAATACATGGCTGCTACATGATGGTGATGTATGATATGCTTGATTTATTTTTGTAGCAGAGTTAGCCTAAACCTCTTTATTTTTCAATGGAAAAAGGAAAGCTGTTTTTTTTTGTTTTGTTTTGTTTTGTTTTTACTATCTTCTGTCTACTCTTATTTTATGTGCCAATAAATAAGTAGGAGTCTGTGAATTCCATAATAGCTGTGTGCGTAGACCTGTGGATAGTCTCCTTAGCAAGGAAATCATAACTCATGAAAAGTATTTTTGAAAAGCTAAAGTCTCTGAATATTGTTCTAAGGATATACAGCAAGTAGAGAAATATTCCCTCAGATAAATCTCCATAAAAACAGAAATAACCTGATACTCAGGCTATACCAAACTATCTATCCCCTAGTTCTGCATGATGGAAATTCTACTCTAACTGGGTGCATCCAAGAACACAATGATCCCTGTCCCCACAGATCCCAACACCTCCATGGGAAGTCCAGGGTACCAGTATTTCTCGTGTTCCTAGGATTTGTGTTGCAATTCTAGTGCAAACAAGAGGCACTGAGATTTCTAGGGCCATTTTCACTTCCCAGCGTCCAACTCTACCCAGGCATTGTAGAACAAGAATTTTGGACTCCTATTACCTTTGTCATAGCAAGGAAGGCAAGCCAAGAAGACCAAAATGTGTTGGGGGGTAAGGAGGACCCCACCCCAACCAGAAACACCAAAGAGATCCAAGACACCAAGGACTATAAGTCCCATAATGTCATCACCACTGAAGAGAGGATGCTGGGAACTGAGGGTGGAGTTAAGCAGCCAGGTTTAATGTATAACCAGTCCTATGGGCCTTGCGGGCCCTTGGTTTTTCACCATCTTTCAGCATGTTACTGGGGTTCCAGCTCAGTGGAACTGGTAGGACACATTCACCAATATATCTCTCTTTTTCCCTGAGTTATTTACTTCTTCATTCCCCTTTTTTTGTAAATAACCCTTTTACTACCCTTTCTCTGTGTGTGTGCAGTTCAGTCTCAGTGTAAGTCTCATTTAAGTGCATGAGTAAGGACCCTCAGTCAGGCCCATTTCGCATTGGGGTTGCCCTGTAACACTTGGGAAAGACAACCCAGAAGACCAAAGGCTACTTACCCTATGCAGTATAGTGCTCATAAAGCTGAGGTGTCGCTCTGACACAAGGGGCTGCGGCCCTTCTCTCAGCACGGTGCAGAGGTTGTGATCAGGGAAAGAAGCAGTTGTAAGAATAGAATCTCTTAGGAAGACTTATTGGGGTGCAGAGCACTAGGAGTTCATGTTAAAGGGTACTATTGAAAATAATTAAGAGGAGGCCGATAGCTCAATAAGTGAAACAAGCTGAATCTGTAAGACAATTAACTAGAAATTTAATAGAAAGATCAGGAAAAGAGATAGCTCCAGAGAGATAGCTCCTGGACTCAGAACAAGCTTCAAAAAGAGAAGTCGCAAAGATTACCTCTCCCAAGGGGATTGAGTTTAATTGGAGACTACCTTGGAGCTATTTATGCCCGCATGGCTTGTTGAGAGCAGCAGAATAATCAGCTAGCACTTAGTGGAGGCTGCTGGCCAGGTGAGATAAAGACAGAGGAAGATGCAATGGTTGGGGAAAAGGCTGTTGAGAGCCCTGCTAAAACCACTGTCATACCACGTCTGGGCACGTCCCCACAACCTTGGCTCCTGAGGGATAACATAGTCTCCATGCTGTGGGGAAATACACTGAGTTGATATTGTCAAGTCAGTAAACTAATAAACAAGAAAATGATAACAAGTCTGTAAGGTGATGAATAGTTGTCCAGAGTTGCTATATGTGGTACCCTGAATAATACTTCCCAAATGTCTAGAATCAGAAATGTGACTTTATATGGCAAAGGAACTTTGAACATATGATTGAGTTAATGTTCTTGATGTGAATTAATCTGAATTCTCTGGGCAAATTCTAAATATAATCACAGTGTCCTTATGGGAAAAGCAGGAAATATGACTGTGAAGGAGATGTGGTGATGGAAGCAAGAGGATGGCGTAGTTCAAGATGTGAGTCGGTAATCCATGTGTTCTCCAAGAAGCAAGGAAAGCAAGGAAATGGATTCTCCCCTTAAGACACTAGAGGTAATCCACCTTGCCAAGGTTTTCACTATACTCAGTGAAACTGATTTGTGTATTCATGCAACCAGAATCGACAGAGAATGAATTTGTTTTGCCTAGATAATTAAGTTTATGATAGGTTATTATAATAACTTTATTTGCTAGAGTTGCCATGACAAAGGACCGTAAATCTGGTAATTTGAAGAAAAATTATTGGCTCATAGATCTGGAAACTAAAAGCCCAAGTGTCAGTTGGGTTGGATCCTTGTGCAGGCTGTGATTGGTGAGAAAGTAACTGTTTCATTCCTCTTTCCTGGCTCCTAAAGGTTCGTGGACAATTTTGTCTGTTTTTTGGCTTGGAGAACTATCCCTCCAACCTCTGACTGTATCTTCTATTGTGTGTCTGTCCTTGTGACCAAATGTCCTCTTTTTATAGGGTATCAGTCACATTGGTTAAGAGTCACCCTAATGACCTCATCTTAACCAAACTAATTATATTTGCAAGAATCTTATTTCCAATAAGGTCATCTCTGAGAGACTATGGGTTAAGACTTCAGCACATAAATTTGGGGGAGACAATTTCACCCATGACAATAGCCACAGGAAACTACATGTGATCTAATGTCTAGCATGTCCAGTTTCAACCCAAAAAATATGAGGCATGACAGAAACCAGTGTGACCCTTACATGGGATAAAAATAGAAAACTGCTTATCATAGGATGCAGAAGATGGCCTGAGCAGACAAAAATAGAGAAATAGCTAGTTTGATATACCGAAGACTAAAGGACCTGGTACTGAAAGAAGTAAAAAATGCATGATGACACCTCTTCAAAAAAAACACTACAAAGAGGCAGAACTTGTTCTGTTTTGTTTAGTTAGGAACAAAATGGAAAATCTAGCAGACACTCCACCAGCCCAGGAATACATGCCCCTCTCACATATTCTCCAGAAAAGGGCATGTCTTGGACATCAAACAAGGCTTGAGAACATGAATGGGTCTTATTGATAGTTCAATGGAATGCATACTTTAAAGTTGTTGCTACACTGTAAGATTTTATTATTTTATATGAACATATTTTAAGAATACAGTTCTTCATTGCCACACTTGTAGAAAGGGATGCAACTATTATTGGCAGTTGTCTGGTGGCACTGACCTGAACATTCTTGATTAAACTGAATTATTGTCTATTAACATGTTGATTGAAGTGATTTACCTTTTCTTTTTTTTTTTAAGATTTATTTATTTATTTACGCATACAGATCTGGGGTACAGGCCAGAAGTGCCGGGGTGGTGAAAAAATTCACCAGAGACAGAGTGGGGAGCAGAACAGGCTGATTAGGGGAGCAGCGGCTGGGTCAGGAGAGGTCTGCTGCACCATGTGGGTCAGCTCCGGGGCTGGGTATAGAACTAGTGCTGAAGTGGCTTTAGCTTCTCAGTGCTGTGCTTTAGTGTGTTGCGCCACCAGGGAGGGCTGCCTTTTTCATTTTTTTATTTTATTTTATTTTATTTTATTTGCATTTTTGGAGTCAGTATACTATACCTGAGGTTAATATTTTTTATTTCCATCCTTTCATTACCTACTCTGTTAGTTTCAAGTTCAGAATTTGGGGCAGAAAGAGGTGTGAGTTGGTGGAAGATAATAAACTAAGCCTCAGTCTTTTCAGGACTAAAGAGTTATGAGGTTAAACCGTGCCTGAGATGTTAGCAATATTTGAGCTGAGCCAGTGCTAAAATGCCTTGGGAGGTGGCTGTGCTTGCAGGGGGCTGTCCCCTGAGGGTTTGTGCTCAGGCTGCAGGTGTCTGGGGAGCACTGTGGTAATGGCACAGAAGTAAATGGCTGAGTCTGAGGTCTCGGCAGGGGAAATTTGCAGTGAGCTATGGCGTTCAACGGCGACTGTGGTAGCCTTCAATCTTCCATTAGACTTAGTCCCCAAAGGAATGTAAAACAAGGTGACCAGACTGCCCCCGGGATTTTGGCGAAACCACTGCACACTGTTCATAGCAATGGAAGAGTTGCACCTCAGCGTGGTGATGGCCCCCTCCTGGAGAATCAGGCGTTGGGGGCTCTGCTGCACCTGGTCCCCTCTCACACCTGAGGAGAAAAGGAGACTCAGTCACAGGTGATGGTCACTGCACAAAACCAGAAAAGACCCCTGAGATCATGCGGAGGGTGCAGACCGCCACAGCCAGCTCCTCTCTCCCTGCTCACAGGGCTGCAGCTGCCAACCCCTCAGCTCCCCATCAGGACACCCCAACTCACAGCAAACCTGGGCACACAGCAGCCCCAGCACAGCACTCAGCAGCCTCTTCCTCATGCTCCACCTCGCTATTCCAGACATTTCCAGGCAGCCTAGATTTGAACACCAGGGAGGCAGGGCAGGACCTGGTTCTGCAAGTGCCCCTGTTTCTGCTCCTGACACCCTGTCAGCCTCACCCCACAAGCCCAGCTGATGCCCAGCCCCGCCCTGCACAGAAGCCCTGCTCTGCCAGGAAGCCTCGCCCTCCCGGGAAGTGCGCCCTACCAACCTGCCAGGAAGCCCCATCAGCACAGGAGCCCCGCCCCACCAGGAAGCCCCGCCCCACCAGGAAGCCCCGCCCCAACAGGAAGCCCCGCCCCACCAGGAAGTCCCTTCTGCAGCCTCTACTCTCTGCCAGTGGCTGCAGAGCAGGGAGCCAGGGGGAGCAAGCTCTTTATTCCGTTTCTTAAGGGACTTCTTCTTATAACAGTGGATGAAAGAGAGTGTGAGAAGGAAAGGAGAGACCTCCCAGGAGGGTAATGGGCCTGGCTCATGGGTCAACATCCACATTTTTAAACCCCCAAACAAGCACCTATTGGACAAACAGAGCTTTACGATCTATGAATGAATTAAATGAGAGTTATATACAAAGTTCTAAAAACATATATATTATGTGTTACATACTTAATGAATTATTAGTATTGAAATATATGAAACAGATGGATTGAGACTCCCGCAATCAACAGACTGTGGTAAATCTTCTAGGAAATGAGCCTGACAATGACTGTAAAGGTGAGAATTGGATAGTATCATTTCAGGCATTATCTTTGCATAGTATTCTTGCAACATAATTCCCTCCTCCCCTAATTCTTATCTCCATGGTTCAAGCTTGCAGTTCAAGTCATCTGTTTTCAAAATTCACAGCTGCTCTTTTCCTCCCACTTCCTTACTCTTTACATTTCTGTCACTGTCCTTCTCTTTTTCTTACCTTCTCTCTTCTCCCTCTTTTTGGTCCTCTAGGAAAAGACAGAAAAAATTTAAAGGAAAATCATGGTATGTAATGGTTTGGGACTAATTTTGAACCTGTAAAATGAAAATTCGTATTTTCCCCTGATAAACTAAAATCTTGGAAATAAAAATGAAAAATCTTATTTCTATACTATGGAATGCTCCAACTTCCTTTTGCTAGTAACTGTTTGATCCAAGAATTTTTTCGGAGAAATATAGATACAGATAATCTAGACCGAGCAATAATAAGACTGTAGATCCAGATATATGCAGTCAGCTATAAACTTCTAGTATGTGAATCAGAAATATGGCAGAACTATTAGTTGACAGGCATATTCAACAAAAATCATGTGTTCTATGTGCTGACACTAATTTGGTTTTCTTCTTATACTTTTCCCCTCTCCTTGCTATAACTGGTTGTCATTTGTACATCCAGAGACTTTCTTAAATCTTTTAATGACTGTTGGGTCCTTTGCCTGGACAGACCTCCCCACCTCCCCCACAGAATCATATGCACACTGTTGTGTGGAAATAGAAAGAATGAGCCATGGGTGCTGGAACAGAAAAAACAGGAGGCAGGAAGTGTTCCTGCCTTGTGTTTACTGCCTTGTGTTTAAACGACTGTTCTTTGACCCCCATGTTATTGTCGCATGTTATTGACGCACTTGCTTCCGCCTACCCCCAGCCCCAGGCTCCATGCTGAAAGGTATAAATAGGGAAGGAGAGAAGAATAAAGTGTGCCTTTGCTTGCTGACCATGAAGTGTGAGTTTTAATCCTGACGTCCTTCGCTCAGACCATCTCTACTGTCGTGCTGGCGCGGCAATGACTATTCAAAGCAAAGTCCTCTAGACAGTCTCTGAATTCAAGAAAGGCCTGTAGTACTTCCTGATGGGCTGAAACCTTAAGAAAGGAAGACATCTCATCCAGCTATGGCTCCCCCAGCCTTCCTTTCCAGGAGTAGCCACGAGGATGCAGAACATCACAGGTAGTCCCACAGTGCCTACTTTTAAAGTAAATACTTTCATATAATGTAATTTTATGTAATGATCTGAAAGCAATCATTTTAATTCTTGCCTATGAACATATATTAAAAAATGATCATTTCTATATGGTGCAATTAAATTAGCCAATTTATTTCACCATACTTTAGACCTGGGAAAAAATGAAAAATGAATTAGACACTGTGTCTTCTTTCATATAGTTTGTGATGTAATAGGGGAGCCCAAGCATCTCTGCAAATATAATAAAAGGCTAAAGGATGTCACAATAAAATCACACCTTAAATAATCCTCAAGCACCAAGACTGTAACAATTACTACAAACTTATATTATCAGAGAGCTGAGTGAAGGCTATCATACCTTCACTCACAGTAGCAAAGCAAACTGGGTGATCTTTAAATGTGACCCTTTATTTAAAAAAATCAGGCAACAGCAAAAACAAACAGTAGTATGGACAGAGCCGCCAATCACAGCACACACATATCCACACACACATAGATCAATTATTTAAGCACACAAGTGTTCTCTACTATTCAGGTCAAAGCTGTGAAGCTACTCATGGTCAATCTCAAGGAAAATGCTTTTCACATACTTAACAGTTATCATTGAAACTGATGTGAAGCTCAGAGAAAACTTGTGTGTTATAGTGTGTTGACATAGAAGGCTGAGTTTGTTTTGGAAATTGGGGGCATCTTAGTGAAAAGAAAAGAAAAATGAATGAGCTGGCCCAGACCTGCCTCTCAGGTGGGTGGAGGCAGGAGGACCTGGCATAATGAAACCCCATTTCCAGGGGAGGTGAGGATCCATCTCTTGCTCCTTGGGCTCCTTGGTCTAGGGGCCATGAGGCAGCTCAGTATTCACCACAGTACTCACAGTTCGCAGTATCAAACAAGTCTGCTTTTAAATTATATATATTCATTCTAGACAGAACTTTCATAATGATAGCAATATTTAGCAACTAGATAGACACTGAAATAAGAGTTGTTAATGCTATTTTTTGTAAAAATATGTGTACATTTTAAAATGAATTTTAAATAAAATGTTAGTTTAAGTACATTTTGTTAAAACTGTTCACTCTTCTTTTAGTGTCAGTAGGTTAATTTAGAAAGAAAAATAACTTAAAGTTATAGGAAAGTAATTTCAGTTTATATTCTTATCTCAGATTTCATAACTGACAGTGATTCTGTATATATAATAAGTCTTATAGATTGACTAGACACTAAATGGAATGGAAAATGAGGAAATCTGTATTTTTACTAACGTAAAAAGTGAAATGATCTGCAGACACTGAAGAGCATATGAGCTGTTTAAGAATGTTGCAAATCTTTACTAGTGACCCTGAGAAGAACAATGACTAAACTATCACTATTATTGGGATCTCAGTGGTATTACAGAAATTAAACTGAAAGGCAGACACAAGAAAAAAGGAAGCCTGAGTGAACTGAATTAAAAAAAAAAGGGGGGGGAGGGTCCCAGAGGACAACTCACCCCAAGACTCCATATGGGACATCAGGGTGACACTGGGTCTATTTCATGCCCATAGCTGGGGAACACAGGGGAAAAGATTTCTGTACATCATACTTCACTGACTTTGCAAAAATAACTTCATACATATCCTTCAATGCAAACTTTAAGTCCACATTTTCAAGTGCTTTAGTCAAAGTACTGAAGTCCTATAAGGAAAGATGTCTCTCACGTTACTATAAAGAAATTTGGAGATAGTGCTGTTTGAAATAATCAGCTGTCCTCTATTATCTGATTGCCTGAGAGCTGAGATAAAGCAGCTCTTTGTATTGCTTTATAACAGCTTACATGGCCCACCCTCAACCCAGGTAAGCCTGTCACTATTTCAAAGGATATGGGAATAAGTACTTTCTCCAATTTTTCAAAAACCCAATTGCCTCAGCTCTCCAGAACCCTGATTCTAAAGGATAAAAAAGTTGCTCTTTTGAAAACAGGGTCCTTGCTTTAAAAAGAACAAAAAGGAAAGTGTCAAACATTTACATAGGGACAAACAATTTCCCAGGATCCCATAGTCAAATATTCCCAGGTCTCTGTATGTTGTTTGCCATGGCAGAATATGACAACTTTGTGAAAATAACGGATGCTAGGACCCTGAGCCTTTGTAGCTGCAAAGTCCCAAGAGGTTTGTGTTCAGCTCCCCCTGCAGACCCAGGCACTGTGTCACTCACTGCACAAAAGTACTGCGCTGAGTCGCTCCAGTCAGCGAAGGATTTCCTCAGGTGGAAAGTGTTTTGCGTCTCACGTTTAACCTCAAAACCATTGATGCCTTTAACCAAGGTGTCCCCTGAAAAGTCCTTGAGGATGAGCTGGAGGCCTTGGTTGGGGTACTGGACGTACCAGAAGAGGTATGGTGGAACAGAAATGGTGTAGTTGCACCTCAGCACCAGCGAGGCTCCTTCAGAGACAACGACGTGGGTGTCCAGTTGGGTCACCGACTGCGCTCCAGATCCTCCTGCAACATCATGTTGGGTTAACAAACTCGGCTAAAGCAACCTCTGAGGACACATTCAGATTCACACCTGGAGAACTGTGATCCGCTTATGGACACAGGACGAGAGAAAGATACTCACTCAGCAACAGGACCGTCTCAAGCATCAAGGCGAACACCAAGGTCATGATGGACAAAGGAGCACCTTTCTCGGTAATCCGCACAGGTAAAAATCTGGGGTCTGGGGGACCCAAACCCGGCTTGCTGTGAGGCTGAGGTGGAATGGTACGGGGTCTAGAGTTCCTCTTTTTATGATGTTGTAGGTACTGCTGAAAGAGACGGTCTCCCGGCAAAACAGCGTGTGCTCTGCTGTCAGAACACTCTGTAAGCTCTATGAAGAGAGACTTTCCTGAGCTCACTTCAGATTCCTCACAGAAATACCACTTTCGTTTCAGGCAACAGCGCCCTCAGAGGTCAGCAGCCATAAGGAAAATTTACAATTTTTATGAATTGCCGCAACCTCGTTTCTGGTCTTCTATGGGTAAATTCCAAAGAGGAAGATTCCTGTGTTGTTCATGGTGAAGTTATGAAACTTAGAACTTTTTTAAAGAACACAAAAGTAAAGAACTTGAAAATTTTATTAAATTTTTATTAATCATAAAATTTGAAAATAAAATAAAAATTGAAAATTTGAAAAAATCTTAGAAGAGGAAAACTGCAAATAAAAATACCACAAATGTATAAAATCTGGGAAATTAGGGCCCTCCCTGGTGGCGCAGCGAGTTAAAGCACAGCACTGAGAATCTGGGGCCGCTTCCGCATGAGTTCGATCCCCGCCTGGCCCCAGAGGAGATCCACATGGCATGGCAGACCTCTCCTGACCCGCCCGCTGCTCCCCTCAGCAGTGTACTTCGTCGATCTGCCTGTTTTGCTCCCCACTCTGTCTCTGGTGAATCCTCTCACCCTCCGCATCTCTGGCCTGTACCCCAATTCTGTATGAATAAATAAATAAATCTTTAAAAAAAAATCTGGGAAATTACACCCATCACCAGCAGTACCAGCAGTGTTGATTATATTCTTACTAATTTCCCATAAATGTCCCAAAAGCACAGTAAAGATCTTTTATGCATTTGACTCAACTTTCTCCAATAACAATGTACACAATCATAGTACAATGATTAAACAAGGCAATTGATAATCATAGTACAAACACATATACAATCATACACAATCTTAGTACAATGTTTAGACAAAGCAATTGATCTGGGTATAATGTTATCACACTGCAGAATCTAGATTGGTTCACAGGTTCCACATGTGCTAATCATTTCTTCTAGGCACACAGTTCTAAGTAATGTCGTTGTGTGTAAGTCGGTGTAACTACAATCAAGATAAAGAACTGTTCCTGCACTAAAAGACTCCCCTTGACACATTCTCCATCCCTACCAGCCTGACAACTTCTAGCAACCATGGTTCTCATTTCCATCTCTATAACTTAGCTCTTCATAAGTGTAAATTGTACACTAAATATGTATGGATCATATAATCCAATAAGCAGAAGGAAGCAGTGTGTAGCCTTCTGAGAGACATCTTATTCACTCAGTGTAATGTATTTAAGATCTGTTGTGATTTCTGCTTCTATGAATAGTCCCTATGAAACTAGAGAGCATCTTGCTGCATGGGTGTACACTGCTCTAATTATCTGTTCACCGATGAAGGACTGTGTGGGTTCCAGTTCTGGGGCAACCCAAATCTAAACTGCCATGAATATTCATGCACTGAAGTTTGTGTGAACACATGGTTTTCTTGCTCTAGGATAAGCACCCTGAATAAGGCTGCTGTGTTAAAGGTTTAAGTGAATATTTAAATGAAACAGTCAAACTCTTTTCTAGAGAGACCAAGTCACTCACCCATCACCAGCAGTACCAGCAGTGTTGATTATCTGATTTCTCTGCATCATTGCCAGGATTAAAAACCAGTATTTTGATTTTAGCCAAATCCACCAGTGCAGAATAGCATCTCCTTGTGAATTGATATGGCAGTTCCTTAATGGCTCATGAGGTCCCACATCTGGCCACATATTTATGTAAATGATTCTTTGTCTACCACACCCCTCCTTATGAAGTGTCTGTGTCTTTCTTCTGATTTTAATGGATATACTTATTTCTTCCTTTGGACTTTTGAATCTTCTATACATTTTACAATCCAATTCTTTAATGAAAAGTTATTTGCAGGTATTTCCTACTAATCTGATTTTGTATTTTCATTTATTTGTCACTGTCTCTCACAGACTTAACATTTCTAACATTGATAAAAAATTAAATTACTTTGCAAGGATTGTGCTTTACTATCATGTCAAAGTCTCTTTCTCTAACCCTAGGTCATGAAACCATCTCTTATTTTTCCTCTAAAAGATTTATTGCTTTATGTGTTACACTTGGATGTATGACCATTTTAAGGCTATCCTCAAATTCTTCTATCAGCTGTGACATCTAGGTAAATGGCTATTCTATTGTCCCAGCACCACAGTTGATAAGATTGTCTTTTATCCTATTGAATTGCCTTTGCATTTTTGACAGAAGTAAACTGTTGTCTCAACTTGTGCAATTCTAATTACAATTGCTAACTCGATGGAATAAAATAGTTAATGATACTGTTTTATTATCTTCTTTATGTTGTCAAACCTGTAATATGGTGTAACTTTGCATTCCTTGTATTTAATTTGTGTTTTCTCTCTTTTTTCCCTCTAATTTCTACTTGAAAGACATCATACTTATTATACTTATTACATAATTTCAGAAGTTAACTTTGTCATTTAAAGATTATTTTTATCACCTGTGCCTGTTTTACCAGTTTGAATTCTTTGTTTTTTACATATAAACAAGTCTTAAAAAAAAAAGTTAGATGCTTATCCCAAATATTTGGGGTACATTTTTAAGTGAATTCCATGCAGATCGCAGAATATGTGGTATATTTTCAGTCCTTTAAACAGATTAAGACATTTTCGTGGTGAAACACTGTGTGTGTGTGTGTGTGTGTGTGTGTGTGTGTGTGTGTGTGTGTGTGTGTGTGTGTG